GGGAAACTCTACATTTCAGTGAAAATACAGAGATGGCACTGAATGAGGGAAAAGAAATATCATGATTTTTCCAGTAAATCACAATATTTACTACTATGTGAAAAAGACTCTTTTTTTCAACAAATTGTACATATTCTATGAAACCTCATCACAAAAAATTTTTGTGAAAACATCGGACACAAATAAACGAACTTGCAGTTAAAAGCTGCTGTTTTCTCTGGTATGTGAAAATCAGTGATGTGGTTTCACAGACACACTCATAAGTTTAACCATTACATTATTAGGTATTCAAGCTTAGCCCTAAAATTTAATTTCTGTCTGAGACCTGATAACATTGGGAAAGTCACTTTTGGGAACCACTGTATGCTAGCATTTAGCATCAGGAAATGACTATTCCTTCCTTACTTTGCAATTTGTTTTCTGCATGAACACTCCAAATAATAAGATTTGCAGTTCTTGGATTATAGCACTCAGCAGGGATGCTCTGGTTTTGGTACTAACAATCATTACAAGTCAGTGGTGCCCTCACTGCTTATAAAATCTGCTGTTCAACATTTATGCCACTTTTTTACATTTCAGATTTCATACAGACTGGAGTAGGAAGGTTGTTGCAGCAGTTTCAACACTTCTTCCAGATCTTCCTTCTCTGAAGCATCTATTCACTTAAATAATTACACCCTATTGCAAACCCTACTTCCTTCACTTTTCTCTTTGATGCCCCAGCTTCCCCCCAAAACAGATCAAGAAAACCAGATTACAAGTTAAGCATTTCTTTAATTCAGAAGAAGGGAATCTCAAATTTTAGGCTGAGTGTTGCTCAATAGAAATACAAATAGAACTCCACTTTGATTTCATTCTTCTCATTTGTGTGTTATTCTTAATACTACTGCTAAGCTGAAATAATGCTTGGTTCTTATACTTCAAGCTTTGTCTTGAAATCACACAACATTTCACAGAATCATGGAACGGTTTGGGATGGAAGGGACCTTAAAGCCCATTCAGTTCCACCCCCTGCCATGGGCAGGGGCACCTTCCACTATCCCAGGTTGCTCCAAGCCCTGTCCAACCTGGCTTTGAACACTTCAAGGGATGAGGCAGCCACAGCTTCTCTTGGCAACCTGTTCCAGGGCCTTACCACACTCACAGTAAAGAATTTTTTCCTAATATCCAATCTAAACCTACTCTCAGTCTTAAACCATTTCCCCTTGTCCTGTCACCCCATGCTCTAGTAATATATTTCTAACAGTACCCTCAATAAAATTGTTGGGATTCAGCCTTAGACTTGTTTTTCTTTTGCAGATACAGGAATCAAGGTGAGAAACGCCTGGGAGCATAAAGCACCAGGGAACCTGAATCCATAAACCAGTACAGCCCTGCGTGAGCTGAGTCATGTAAAAAGCCAGATGAATGTAAGTTCAGCCCTTCCAAATATTACTGGAAGTATCTGAGATGGGATTCAAACTCAATTTTTTTAATTTATAATTATGGACCCTACCCAAACTTGAATAGAGTTGCATTCCACCGTTTTAGTTTTGCTAAACTTTTAATGCTCTTGTCATGTTTAGCCTTTCCTGATCTCATTTTATCATTTACTTTTACCCTTTCATGTGGGATCTGAGACATCTTTAGTATTGCGAATTCATTCTAAAGTGACCACGTAAAAAGAACAGTAACAATACAGTGGACAACTATACATCAAATATTTTACTCAGTAACCCTTATAATACCTACCTCTTGAAATCAACCATTTATTTCAAATGCTCCAAAATACTTTAAAAGACCAAAAAAACCCCCAAAAATTAAGGGCACACAGCAATAGATTGATTGACCTACAGAACTACTCAGACCTATGTTGAGCAATAAGATTGAAATTACCATCCTTTTACTACAATTTACATACCAAAACTATTTTGTCTTTCACAATCTAATTCTTATTACTGTTGCAAGAGTAAAATATATTTTCAACAGAAAGCTTTCTCTTGATTTAGGAATAATTCAATTAAATCTGATTTGGGCTGGCAGGAACGTATCTTTTTTTAAAAAACAAGGTTCCTGCTGTCATGAGTTCTCCAGGACTACAATCTGGAATGATTTATACAAATTCTCAAAATTTCTCTGCATGATATATGCTTTCTTTTGGTACAGGTTCACAAATTGGATTTTGTATGTCAGGTATTGAAAAGGGAAAACAGAAACAGGTCAGTGTTTTAAATGTGATTGATTTCTTCAAGGGAAATGGGTGACATGATGCATTACTGCAATAAGATACTCATATTTCTGTTATAAATCACAGGCTTCTGCTAGGCTCTTTTTCAACAGGAACTCATGCAAAATTATCTTCAATTGCTGCAATGGGAACTTTCCATAAAAACTTTGTTTCTTTTGTTTGCAATATGTTATTTTTCCCTCAATTTGCTTTGACAGATGAACTTCGGGTGTGACTGTTACTTCGCAAATAACATTCAAGTTTAGAAGGTTCTATTGAGAAGTCTTTTTTTTAATCCCAAAGAGAAAAACCGTGGAGTTATAAATGCTTCCCACATGCCAGCCTATGGCTGGTATCATTAAAATGTGTAATGCATGACAGCCTTGATTTGGATTTTTGGGTGGATGTTCTTAAACAAACAATCCTCTCTCCCTCACCAAACCTCACACTGTTTTATTTTTTCTACTCTATTGATTAGAATCAGGAGTCTTTCTGTACTACTGTGGTAGTTTGGTCTAGGCCTTCCTTGGTGACCAGTTTGTAACCAAGGAAGGGTCCAGATTTACCCAGTACTCCCTACGATTTTTACGTAAGCCAGGCTATAAGAAGAAAGGAGGAAAGGCCTTCGCTCTCTTTCCTTCCGGTGGCTTTGGAGGTGCAGGTTCCCTGCTGTTGAGTCTGCTGTGTTGGGAAGTGAGGCCTGGTAAGGCCTTGTTGACCTTGGGAGACGGAGGTTGCCGGCGATCGTTGCAGCGTGACTTTCTGTTGTCCCAAGGAGAGTAGTAAGATAGTCTTTTGCTAATTTCTTTTAGTTGCTAGATCTTGGGCTACTGATTGGGATATATATATATTTTATTTTGGTTTTGTTCCTTTTCCCTTCCCTTTCCCTTGTGAAATTGTATATATATTTCAATTGTATATAACTGTAACATAAGTGTAAATATATTTATATATATATTGCTTTAGCTGTCTCTCTCTTGTTTTGGTTTTCTTGGTTGTTTTTTTTCTCTCTTCTCCCTGAGGTTTTTGGGTGGGGGGGAAGTTCTTGCGGTAAGGTTTGGAGACTTGGCAGGGAGCCAGCTTCAAACCATATCAACTACAAATAGTCAGCTGGGTATTAAATTCAAGTCGCACGTAAAAATGTACAGTAGTGGACTCAATTTCTCCATATAAAGAGCTCAGAAGCAAATTCTGAAGTAGTGTTGACTAATGACCATAGCGATGGTTGGTAACCAGCCCTGACTTACAGCTCAGTCATCAAAAAGACTAATAAATAATAAAGAACCGCAAGAGATAATTCTGTGAGAGAATAACAACAAGAACAAAAGGATTTTGGAGAAGAATGTCCAGCTTGGCAGGTGTATAGACTGCTTTCACTGATAGGTAAAAAAAGCCCCACTATTACAAATTATGTCTGTTTTTGCTTCAGTTGTGGAATAAATCCAAAACCATTTTAGTTGCGACACCAAAAATATTTTGACATTGTACTAGACTGTTGTGAGTCATCTGAAAATGGGCATATATTTGAACAAGTGAGTTAAGACGACTGTAGGGTTTACGCTGATGACGTCGCCCTTGTCGCCCACACAGAAGCAGTTCTGCAGCATTTTAACATCCTGCTTTGCAGACGCTGCTGAGCTCTTTGGGCTGGAAGTCAGCTTAAAGAAGACAGAAGTTCTCTATCAACCTGCACTTCAGGAAGTCTTCCATCATCCCCATATCACCATTGGCCAATCAGAGCTCAAATCAGTCCAGCAGTTTAATTACCTAGGGAGCCTCATCTCCTCGGATGGTAAGATTGACAGAGAGATAGACAACAGGTTAGCAAAGGCATATAGTGCTTTCGGAAAACTCCATAAAAGAGTTTGGCGAAATAAAAACTTGAAGAAAAGTACAAAGATCAGTGTTTACAGAGCCACTGTGCTGTCTATTCTTTTATAAGGATCTGAATCATGGGTCATCTACCACCACCACCTGCGACTCCTAGAACGCTTCCATCAACGCTGTTTCCGTACAATCCTAAATGTCCACTGGTCAGATTATGTGACTAACACGTCTGTTCTAGAACAAGCAGCAATCACAAGTATTGAGGTCATGTTGCTGAGAACACAGCTGCGCTGGGCAGGACACGTCTCAAGGATGAAGGATCACCGCCTCCCTAAGATTGTGCTCTATGGTGAACTTCCCACCGGTTTCCACAAGAGAGGAGCCCCGAAGACAAGATACAAGGACTCCCTGAAACAACATCTCAGCCTTGGCCATATTGATCATCATAACTGGTCTACTCTGGCCTCCAATCGGGAGGTCTGGAGACACACCATCTACAACACTGCTGCTTCTTTTGAGAAAGCACACAGGATCACTCTTGAGGAGAAAAGACAACGCAGAAAGATTTGTGTCTTGCAGAATATTCCACTTAAGGAGTCTTTCTGCTGTGCCTTTTGCAACCGGACGGGTCTATCTTGTATTGGCCTTTTTAGCCACCAGTGCGTTTGTAACAAATGTGGGTAGAGCCCTTCCCAAATCTCCGTTCATGAAGCCTAGCCATGACTTCAGTAGGGTAGTAGAGGACTTAGGGCTCACTGCTGATCTCACCCCCCCCAGATTTCCACACTCATATTAACCAAGATTCACTGTATATTCTAAAAAGCAGCACAACTACATATTCTTCACTTAATTTTCACATGGTGAATCCTGGTTTTCTTCATTAAACAATGAAAAATCTTGTGTCCCTCCCGGTAATTTTTATTCATTATAAAAAACTACTTGAATAGCTTTCTTTTTTATTTCTCACCTCAGAAGCTGGAATTGTAAACATGATAATTCCTTCCTTTGGATCACCCTGAGTGTAGCCTGATGAATATCAGAAGAGAAAAGCCAACTTCTGTCATTTGAACAAGGAGTATCAACCAGTACCTACACAATAAAAGCAAATAAGATCATTCATAATAAAGATACTCACTTTCTGAACACCATGTGTTCAGAAAAATCTATTCAACTTACTTCTGCAAATACTTAGAAATGCCCTTTTTATTTTCCATTTTCAGGAGTGAAATGATCCAACTGCTATTTTGAGATGTTTTTAAATGGAGTTATCAGGTGAGGAAGTAAGAAATTAGTACTCTAAAAGTAAACTCTACCTAAGCAGCTCTCACTTGTTCCCTTGCCCTTCCTAATTACACATCATGCAAACTAATACAGCTACAAGGTCTTCAGAATTCACTACCAAGGCTGAATTGATAACATCACCTAACACATGAAAAAATGCACAACAGGCTTCATAAAATGTTTTCTGTGGCTCTGCATATCCTGTACATGATTTGTTCCCCTTGATAGGTCAGATATTTTTGTGGGGGCCAGAAAAAAAAAATTAAAAAGACAGTAGGAAGAAAAAGAATCAGAATGGAGAAATACAATTTGCTAATAATAACGTTACCTTGTCATATAATTCAGGCTTAAGATCTCCAATGTGTCTGCCATCCAGTTTGGAGACCATTATCGAGTTAATCAAAGGTTGTGGGATGAAGGATTCTATGGTCTCTTCCAACCATCTTGCCCTCAAATCATCATATTCATTGCAGTGAAACTGACCTTAGAAAATTTAAAAAAAAAAAAAAGACAAAAGAAATAAGTCTTTACGGTTTTTTTTCTATTTTTACAAACATAAGGAGTTAGACCAATTTTAGAAGTTCTACTGCTTTGCCATGACTAACTTAGAGCTAACACCTTATAAGCCTGTTACTGCACTTTTTAGAATGTTACCGTATTTTTATAAACCTAAATTTCAACATGCTTCTACAGAGCAAGCCATAAATATTTACAGACAAATGCTTCTGTAGCAATAGACTTCGACAGCAAAACAAATTCATTTAATCACAACCCGTATCCAAAGACTAGGGCTGAGTGCCTTTCTGGGCTCCTTGAGCCACTGTCTAAATGAAGTTGTGGTGGTTTGAAACTCCCAAGAATCTAATTTTTAAGTTCAAGCCTCCCCTCCCACAGTTTGTCCCTGTGAGAGGGTTTAGTGATGGTACGGACTTGATATCTTTTTCACCCCATGTGGAGAGTTTTCAGACAAAACACAGCCATTCGTTATTGGGGGAAGGGGAAAATATTTACAAAGGTTTATTTACACCCACATATATATTTACATTAAATTAAATTTCTCCTCTTCTTCAACAAAAGTCCAAGAAGAAAAAAGTCTTTCTGTCACTTCTCAGGCCACAGTTCCTTCATTTCAGTTTTTTTGTGGCACTGGTTAGTGTCCTTCATTTTCCTGAGGCAGCAAATTTAAGTATAGCAGTCAGGATTTTTATTCTTACTTTGTGGAAATTTCAACCCTGAGCCCGAGCCTTCGGGGGATTTCCTTGTAGATCTTCACTCCTCTTAGGTTAGAACATTGAAGGCAGCTTTCAGTTCACTCTTATCAATGCTCTTTTGCTCTGTCTCAGCTCGACAGCTTGATAGAAACAGCAACAGCAGCAGCAGAGGGCACGGCCACCTCCTCCACATTCCATCCAGGCTCAGCTCTCAGGACAACTCCAGGTTTTCAGCTCCTTTCTCCCTCTCTCTAGCTGTTGCTGCATTTCGGGACTCCCTAAGGGTTTCGAAGTCCACCCCTCCTCTTCAGAGAGTCTCTGGTTTTTGGGAAAATAATACAGTCTTACCCCAAACCAGCTCTGTTGAGTTTTCCTCTGTTTTGTTGCTAGCTCTCCCTCCTGCAGGAACATCTCTGCGTCTTTCAGCCGGCTTCACGTCATCTCGTTGCTACTGGCTATCTTTTGACTTTTAGCCATCGCTGTCTCTGTTCAGGACTGCTCCGCTGCCACTTTCAGTGTCTTCTGCTGCTGCTGACAGTAAGGAAACTTTTCCAGCTCTTGATTACGGGACCTGGTCCAGCTTTGACACTATACTGGGTCTCCTGCTGCCTTGGCTGGGGGCCCTTGGCCCCCAGAGGGGCTCACTGGCCCCCTGCCTCCTCGTAGCTCAGATCATGGCTACCCACCTTCTCTTCCGTTTCTGTGGGCATGTAATTTCCGTAGGGTGTACGTGGACTAATGATTGGTCCAGTATTATCAGTGGGGCAAACCATTACTACCTCAGAGAAAAGGTTTTTCAAACCACCACAGAAGTACACGCCCCTTATTATTTAATTACTTTTTAAATAAATAAAGCATCAGCTTCATGTATCTTAAGCCCAGCAGTCCAAACCCCTATTTATTTGAAATTTAAGCAGGAAGTGTTTTAACAGAAGTCTTACTTTTAACAATGTAGCCAGAGTAGTTACCACTTCAGAATAGTTAGCCCCTCGTCTTGTACTGCCGCGGTCTGAAAAGGGGGGGATGGGACCATGGCACAGCACCGGTCCGGGACACAAAGGTGGGATGCAGGTAGAGAGCTTATTCCAGCGCGCACGCCGTTTTTATCAGCTCCGGAGGGAAAGGGTCAGAACATAGGGCAGAGCAGGAGACAGACAGGTGGGGGGACAAGCCAGGATGGGGACACGGGCAAAAGGGGAGGAATGCAGGAGGAACCAGGGGAGGAAAGGGCAAACGGGGGCTGTCTCCTGTCTGCAGCCTCTCCAGCCAATCGGCAAAGAAACAGAGGAGCAGGGAGGTGGACAGGCCGGGACATGCCCGGAAGATACAAATTCTGGGGGAACATACAATGTGTGTATACATAATAACTATAAAGCCTGCATCATAAAGTCCGTTCAATCACTGTACATATTTTTCCATTTCTGGAATCGTTCCCATTCCGATTCTTGGTCCTCAACATTGTACTCATACCAGAAACACAGAATGATACTTTCACTCTTATTCCTGGTTTCTAATTTTATAAAATTTCTATTTTCATGTCTCCTCAAGTTGTCCTACAGCAGGTTTGCCACAGACGGTACATCTTAGCATTCACTGAGGTATATTAAGAATTAAATTCCTTACATCTTACATTCTCAGTAACAAATTGGTCTCTCCAGAAGCAGCCAGCGGGTAAAAGTGGGTTGGGTTTTTTTTAAACCTTTTGAAAGGACAATTCCTATTTAATTTACTTCATTAGCATCACCTGATTCCTCTATAATACGGAGGGAAAATCAGTTGTAATCAAGTAATGGTTTCAACAACAAGAGCATAAGGTGCTGTGAACACTTTGAGACAATTATTACCCAAACTAACACATAAACGTGGAAACAGTAATCGCAACTTGCTATAACTCCCTGGCCCAGAAGAACAGAGCTGCTGCTTGCTGTTGCCTTCTAAAGTGTGATTAGAGTCCTTCTCTAACATCTAAGTGGCTTCAGACACAGAGCTTATTAAATCCTGATACAGACCAATTCCTCATTATAAACTCTCTCCCTCTGCCTATAACTTGCCTATTTAATTTGTTATGCTCTGTTTTACATCAGTACACTTAAATTTATTTACAATATTTGCACAGCATTGGCCAAACAGATAGCAGAGGAAAAGAAAAAAAGAAGTATTCCAAAATTGCAGATTACTTTCATCCCTGTGGCAACAAATATACATGACTTTAAATAACTTCTGGAGAAGTACCAATAAGGGAACCAGCAGAGAAAAAAACCACAGAGCTATTCTACTGCAGACTGATGGACAAAAGTAACTCATAGTTAAGTGACTACTGTATTTCTCATCCTCTTTTAGGTAAACTGAGTTCATAAAAATTTTATTAAACAGCGTGGAACAACTATTGTTTTTTGGGCTTTTTGTCCCCAATCTGAATCATGTACTGAAAACAGACACAGTGCCAGCGATCAGCACCTGGATACATTACCTGGACAGGCACACTGCAGGATAGCCACTGATTTACCCCCAGGTGCAGCACAGAGATCCAAAACATTTTCCCCATCCTTCACTTCCAAAGCCAGCACCGGCAGCAGCGAAGCCGCATTCAGCAGGTAATACTCCTTCAGTTTACCAGCCTGATGTTTCTGAGCAGGGAATCTCCCAGGAGTTCTCCTGATGTAGCACTTAAATGCTGCTGGAAGATAGGGCAAACCTCCTTGGAAGGCAGGGTGATATCCCTGCACACACAAGCTGTTCTCCAGCTCAGTGCATGAACTGAACCTGTTCAGCAGAATGGAGTGCTGCCAGCACAATGGCGACGTGAGGACATCTCTACAGGGAAAAAAGGAAAAGCTACTTAATAACCTGACAAATAAGTCAAGTTATCATTTCCAAGAAACCCTTTACTTACAGTCTCACCATTGGATGATCCTGGTGTAATCAGAAATTAAAACATTTTCATTAGATATGATTAAGAAGAGTACACAGGAAAATAATTTTAATAGGGAATCAAGACACCATTTTTTCTAATTATTGCATTTGAAACACTTAGTTTCTTCAGAGACAAGATGTTCTCCATTTTTCTTAACTCTAACAAATGACTGCAAAAGATATACATGATGAAGCATAATGGTCTTTCCATCTACTTACTACTTACTTCCCTGGGAGCAAAGAACAACTGCAATATTAGCTGCAAATATCACAGCAAAAAGAATCACATCACCTTTGCGAAGGCCATTCCGGTCAACACTATAATATGCAGTTTTTACAGTTTTTCTTTTTTACATTTTATGTTCTGCAAACACCGGGCCAGAAAAACTTAAAGCAATAGATATTCCTGGAAGACAGTCAGAAAGCAGTGCTTATGTGGTAGAAACATGCTTGTTTGCTCTCCAGTTCACTTTTTCAGGCCTATTTCGCATGGATTTCCCCCCTTTTCCATTTGAATTCCTCTTATCAATTTTTCATTTGGTCTCAAAAAATACTCCTCAGGAGTATCCACTGCCTAAAGCAGAAAAAACACTGATCCAAACTAAGAGAGTTTTTAAGTTGATTCAATTAAACTGAAGCTATACACCTATGCTTTTTAATAGATATATTAAAAAAACCAAACAACAATGAAGGCATTTAATTTAAATTACTTTTTAATTCAAAGAGGTAAACCAAAGAGGGCACTCAGAGGAATTACATGGTTTCTAAGACTCTGAGCATGATTTTTCATTTCAAGGAATGTTCTTTAGCAGCGGTGTGATCAAGGCCCAAATTAAGCGACAGCCTTCACCACATGTCATTAATATCAATTCCTCTCTCCTCCCTTCCCCACCTCCCCAAAACAACAGACCTGACACTGCTCCATGCATTTCCCAGTTCTGCCGTGTACTGCTTGTCAAAGTGATCCAGAATAACTCGACAAATTTGCTTTTGAAGTTTCCCTTTTGATTTACTTTCCAGCTTTGGAGAAAGGAAGGAAAAAAAAAAAGTAGTAAAAACAAACAAATGAAACCCTCCTTAATTCTTCAACATGGTTAAGGACATTCAAATATCGAGATCACAGGAGATGTGACCAAGATGTAACAGAAATTTCAGAGAGTGAACAAGTTAAGCTGGAGTACACTCTTCTTCCCTACCTGTGAAGAAGTCAATCAAAGCTTGTTGCTATCCCTCCATATCCACTAATAATGCTAATAATACAGTAGTTTCTGGGCCTCTGATCTACCAGGAGCAAAATAAGCAAGGTATGATTATGATCAGTATGATCAGCTCTGCCAAGGTGTAAATAATGGAATTAATTTGAACCGTTGCGGGAGACAAGCTGAGTTAACCCGCAAAGCACCGCAATAACTACTCCAGGAGTAACCAAAAGCACTACACTTTTTGGGTTTTAACCTCCTAAATTTTGTATGTAAGGGGGGGGGAGGGGAAAGAACTTTCGGTTTCTAAGTAAACTCGTGCTATCTATAAGGAAAACCCCAAAGGCAAACACCTAAATTTTGCTGGATATTTTTTTTTCCCCTTAACGGCACCCAGCAGCTTCCTGACGATCCCCATGGAACAGGAACAGCTGACGGAAAGTAGAACCCGAAGGACTAAGTTCGGAGCTACTCCTCTTGTCTCCCGGTTCCTTCACCCGGCACCGACCGCATCAGCGGGGCCGGGGGTTCCCTCCCTCCCTCCATGACGCTGAGCCGTGAAAGATCATCCCGGGCTCGGCACAGACGGCAAGGCTGGGCACCAGCAGCTTTTCGTACAAGGTAAGAAAACCCAGGATGCACCCGCTAATTCGGAGGAGGGATCGCAAACAGGGCTGTTCCGACTGTCCCGCCGCGCAGGAAGAGGCCGAGCGCCGCTCCCGCCGCACTTCCGCCTGCTGGGCCCCGGCGCGCCCGGGGTCACTGCTCCCCTGCCCTGGCCCTGTCGGCCCATTGCTCACCTGTCCCGTCCCTCTGCTCCCCTGCCCCGGTGTCCTCCCGGCCGCCCCCCGCGGCAGAAGCGCCCGCAGCCGCATGGCCGCACCCGGTGCGGCCGCCGCGCCCCCCGCCGGCACAGCGGGGCAGGGCAGGGGGCAGGGCCCCCCGCCCCCTACGGTCTTTCCATGGAATCATGGGTTGGAAGGACTTGAAAAACCGTCTAGTCTCAACTCCCATGGTTTGAGACACTTCGCACTAAAGCAGGTTGGTCAAGGCACCATCCAAGCTTGGCTTTGGACACCGTCAGAGTTGGGGCATGCACCACCTCCCTGGGAACCTGTGCCAGTGTCCCACCACAGTCACAGTAAAGAATTTCTACCTAATGTGTGTAGCCTAAATTTCCCCTCTTTTACCCATTACATCTTGTCCTGTCACTACAGTTCCTGACCTTTATGTTTCTTTAGTTTGGACTTTTGTTGTTGTTGTTGGTTTGTTATTTTATTTGGCTGTTTGGTTTTTGTTTGTTTGTTTTTTTGTGGATTTTTTTTGTGTGTGGGTTTTTTTGTTTGTTTTGGTTTTTTTTTTTTTGCTTTTGTTCTGCTTTGGGATTTTTTGTTCTGTTTGTTTGGGTTTTTTTGTTTTTCGGGTTTTGTTGTGTGTTTTTTGGTTTTTTTGGAGGAGTGTGTTAATTTATTTGGGGTTTTTTTTCCTTTTTTTTTTTGCTTGGTTGGTTAGTTGGTTTTGTGTTGTGTTTTTTGTGTGTTTTTGTTTGTTTGTTTGTGGGTTTTTTGTTTACTTTGATTTTGGTTTCTTTGTGATTTTCTTTTCTTACTTTGGGAGTCTGTACTGCCATCCTGCCTCCTCTGCCTCTCCAGGAAATAAACCAGGATCAGGCAGCAACTGGATTCTCAGTCAACTTACAAAACTGATCCTCATCTCAGCACCTGCATCCCAGGGGCTGCTGCCATCCCACCCCACCCACCAGTCAGGACTCTGCTAGTGCCTTTTCACCAGACCTAGACTTCTGGCTGGTCCAGGCTTTGCAGCTGCTGTCCAGGTGCCCAAGAGCCTCCTCTGAACCACACCGGGGATCAGCTCCAGCTCAACCTGCTGCTACTGCCATAAAAAATTGATGGAGACTTGAGAATTATTCCCACAAGTATCTTACATGTGTTTTCAGATAAGCCATTCTCTGGAAAGTGAACCAGGGCTGAAACTAGCCTCAGAAATCCAGACTGGAAAGGGGTGCAAAGGTCATCTATATGATAGTAGGAGAGCTATCGTATAGATAAATATTTGAGTTTCAGGCAACTACTCATGAAGGCTAAGAACATTTATGCCAATTACCATCACACTTGAAAGCTTATTTAAAATGTTTCAATCAGGATTGTGACAAAGGGCCTGCAGGCAAAATGGATACTTCCTATGTATCAAACGTGAAAGGAAACCTGAAAGACTTTCGGATAAATGAGTTGTACCAAGAGATACAGAACAAAACTGGTATGAAAAGTACAGTTCTCCGTGGCTGTAATTCTGCCAAGGCCAGTATCACAGAAGAAAATATATACAGTAATTGAATTTTACAGTACCAATGAAACAAAAAATTATGCTGAGTACCCTCCCCCTAAATCTAGGGCTTAAAGTACTTCAAGTTGAAAGAATTCCAAAAGGTAGGAAGCTAACAGACTATGGCAAAGTTAGTGGGTGGCATCCTGAACTTACAGTGTCAAGCTTTCCACTAATATACTAGAATATATTACTGGAAAAAATACTGCTTGAATCTTAAAGGAAAAAAAAAGCCTGTGCTGATTACTTTGTTACTGTCCATCAATCTTTTGTAATGTGACATCATTAGATCCAAAAATAACCGTTTTCAGGAAATATACTGTTTTCTACTGGAGAAGAAAATTGTCATGAGACCACTCCAAGCAATCATTTCAAAAGCCACCTAAAGCAGCAAAACCGGGAAATCCGTTTTTCAGTGACAGATGGGCCTCCAGAGGATCACAGTTACCATCAGAGATGTGAAACTAAATTTAATGGATATCAAATATACCTAATTTTAATAATACAATTATAGTTATTAATGTGCATTTAAAACCTTTAAATCTATGAGTAAGGTCCTGTGGATTCTCAGTTTTAACTAAAAAGGAAGACAAGCAGAACAACTGATTTTGATGCACTGATTCTCCTTCACATTAATTCAGCTCATGAGAATTATTAATCCTTATTTTAGAAGATACATTTAACTTATCTTTAAAATATGTACTTAAAATGTCGCACAGACAATGCAAAATGTTCTGCTTATACAGTGCATTTCTGTGTACTTACCACTCCTGTATTTAGGTACAAATACTCTCAGCTGAATTCACTGATACATTTTGGAAGTGATATTATTGACAACAAAAAGCATCAATCTTCTAATTTGTGCAATAATTACCTCTCAATTTACTTCTCAAATATTAAAAGCACTTTATATGTACACATATACACATAACTTAGTGCCAATCTATCAATATATTCTAAATTTGACCACACTGCTATTGCAAAAATATGCAGAAATTCTGTCTATAAGGTCTCTATTTTGTACATTTTAGCAATGTGAGACTTGCAGCCCTTAAATATTTATGACCATACTTGCTTCCAAAAAAATTGTAAATTTATGATAATACAGGAAACATATTGATGCTGTGCATTAGTTTTATTCCATATATACATGTCAGCTTGAGCAAAAAAAAAGTCATGGTTGTATAAATTACTGAAAAAACCCCTACCATAGTAAATTACAGAGCATAATAATAGACAAAACTGTAAAAACCATTTCCGAGTACTTTGGTCACATATTGGTAAAATTTATTTTAAAAGCAAAATCAAAAATGATACATGTGTCCACACACAACATACATAACACACAGTTCATATGTATCAACACCTGACATTTTAGTTTCTCAGGCGTTGTTACAACAGCACATTCAGCTTTGTTTTCAGTAAAGACTTCGATTCATTTATTTTTGATGGGAGATAAAATAAAAGGGTAATACACTCCTAGAAACTGAAGCTGTAAAAAAAATAAGTATAGCCTTTAAGCTGAAAACTTAAGTGGTAACAGAGCTAAAGTTAAAATTGAGATTTCACACATAAACATTTATGCAACCTCCTCTCCACTTAATATTGTGTTTGTTTCAAGTGAAAATGACCAAATTCTGAGAATAATCAAATTATGTTACACTATTAGAATACAAAAAAAGTACTCTCATGTAGTCATGTACAAAGTGCTTCATCCTTTCACTAAACTTGGACTTTACCTCTCCACCCATTCCAAACTTATCTCAAAATGGATTCCCCCCCCCAAACACATTCTGTAAAAATCTTAATAAAATTTAATTTTGATTATTATGGTGGATGTCTATTTGTGCAACTCATTGCTGTAAGGGGCATATGGCAAAGATTTCCAATATCAAAGTGCTGAACATAAACATTGCATTGCTTTAACATCTCCTGAAGTAATTTGGTATTACCATGTTATTGAAGACGGAGAGTAATATAAAATAATCAATAATCAAATACTCCTTCTTCAAAAAAATCCCTTTGAATGGGGGTTTCATCCTTACTGTAACTAAGTGGCATAACAATATACTTTACACAAGACACCAATGGTTGTCTCTAGTGTAAGAGGAAAAACATTTAAACAGGAATATATCAATTTGTAACCCTTGTTGTTAATTAATCACTTGTATGTGATTTTTTTTTAATGTAGATAAACACATGGAAGTATTGTTTAAATCCTTAAAACCCTGAGGTTTCTTTAGTTTTCAAGATGGTATTTTAGTGTTATTGAGATTAAACCCTGTTGGAGTTTATCTGCATATTGGTTGATTCAGTTTTCCATCAAAATTCATGACTCAATTAGTGCAAAACTTACACTATGTGCAATTTTCCTGTATGTTGTAGTAGTCAATACAATATCCAACTAAATTTTTTTCCACAGAATTTATTACCTATGTCAGATTCAGTTAACAAAACAAAGAAAACAACAGATAAGAAAACTTTCAGACAGTTCAAATAGCAATATTTTGTATAAAATGTAGTTATTTTAAACTTTCTGTCTTACTCCTTGCTTCAGGTGGCCAGAAATATGAAATACTACACCTAGTAATATAATCCCTAATAAAGGCGTTTTGCTACTGTAAGAGTCAAACACACTGTATTTATATTAACTTAACCATCAGCTTTCTAATGCTTCCAAGGTATCACTTTATTGGTAGCAGGTACCCATGTCCACTCAAACTTCCAAATCATTTTATAAAAAGGTAGAAAAATATACTCAATATTTGTTTAGCCTTTCTATAGTCACCCTATCATACAATGAATCTTACAAAATAATTTATGAGCTGAAAAAATACCAACGACTGCACAGCACCTGGAGGAAGGTCTCGATGGGACGGTACAATCCTGTGATCTTGAAGTTGTTTTTCTTCAGGTTTATGGATATGTATTTTCACAAGTAAATATTCAATACCATGTTCACATCCATGGATACACAGACCTTTCTTATTTCACACTAAACCCTGAAGAAGTGCTGGTGATGTGGAATGACAAGATCAACTAAGTTCGAGAGAACAAACTCCAGATTTAATTGTCACCAAGTCATTTTGCAACATGCTGATAAAGTGTCACTTTAAAAATTTTCCTTCAAGGGCAAAAAAAAATGTTTCTGATGGAATTTTTTCATTTTGTGGTTTTAAATTCTGTTTGGGATCCAGTTAAGCAATGACATCATGGGTGTCACTGTTGGGTCTTTGGCGTAGAGTCAGCGGGGGCAGAGGCTTTCCATAGAAATCTGTGTAAGACATTCCAGAGAAGAAAAACACATCAATCTGTCACCCAAAGGCTTTTTACATATGGCAAATTCTTGCTTCCTTTAATGAAAGCTAGGTAGTCTACAAGTTAAGAGCTAATTCCTACAAGCAACTTTCAAATCTAGTGCTAATTAATGTCTAGTGATGTATTGGCCAAAAGAGGGTTTAATTACATTTTATTAAACATGCAGAAGCATTTGCAAGATCAAGCCCAAAGGTGATCTGTAAACATCCCTAAAAATAGGAA